CTCGTGTTCTCGTAGCTGGAGAAGATACGAGGCTTTGCGGGCAACGAACGATGGCCGCAATGGTGGTAGAGAGGCGGGGCACGGATTGAAGAGGAAACACTGGCAGACAGGTTTTCTGTGGATCGGGGTTCAAGTTAAACCTACAAGGCAAAGCGAACAAAACGCCATGAACCAAAAGGTGCAGTGAGATACAAGCACTCACGGTAAAACATTACTGGCGCCATTGCCAAGCGTTACAGATGCAATGAGTGAGGTTCTCATTCGACGTCTGAATATAGAAATTGATAACTCCTTCAGCTCTTCGAGGTGCTCCTATGATCTACATTCAGAATAAGAGTAAACTATGGATGCTGACTTCGGTGGTTACGTACTCTTTCACGTGCATTTGTGGCGCATCTTATGTTGGTTGAACAGCACGACAGATATCTACCCGGATCAAAGAGCATCACCCACACTGGCTTAGACTAGGACAGATCCTATTGATAAGCAGCCCAATCTTAGCTCTGTCAGTCGACACCGGACATCAGACAAATCCGGACGTCGCTTGAAAGTTTTTTATGGTGAACCCTGCGCAAAATGCTATGGTTTTCAACGGCGCACTCTATCAACTGCCGGGGTGAACGAAAAGCAGTTAACTTTGGCTCATTCCTGACCATCGTGGACATCTGTGAGTTATTCTAATCACCGCATGTCATTCATTAAACTACTTAACTATAAGGATCACACAGATCCAATCGGGTTACGCAACGATACGACGAGGACGGTAAATGATGCAACAGAGAAAAGAAGCTATGCAACCAAACTGAGTAACAAAAAGAGAAGCTAGAGATGACAGGTTTTGGCCGTAGCCTTTGCGGATAGAATGAAACACTCAATCCGGGAATTACACAGAAATGTAATGTGGGCTACCTAGTGAATCAGTTCAAATTTGGTCTTGTTATACAGGTGAAATTCTGCTAATTTTTCACCGTATGCTTGTGCCGTTGCTAAGCCGTTTGACTGTTGTGTCTTTCAATACCAGAAATGTGTAAGCAATTGTACTTTTTCAAATCCGTGTTGTTAGAGGGTATCTCAGTCTCAATGGAATTTATTCACTTGGCTACTGAGGGCCTAGACTGAACCCATTCATACGTCGGTTCATTTCAGCAAGCACGCCTCGGCATGGTGATCGAATATCAAAACATTGATTTCCCAGAATGAACTTGAAGAGAGACCACAACAAAGCTACGTTGCACGATTTGTGCCGAGGTAGATTTTGCTGCATTTCGACGGGTACAATACGACAGAAAATTACGGTTTATATCGTTGACTACCGACTACCTATCTAGATTTATGTGATTCGCCTTCTTACTCGGTCGACAAGGTCAATTATCGCCGAGTTTGTTCATGCTCGTCTTAGACTTGCTCTAGCAGCACTTTTCAGTTTTTCAGTTTGTACAACCAATAACCATGCCCTCGAGCAGTCGTCAAGGCTATAACGTTTCCGGGTGTGGCGGGGAATAGATAGTCAAACCCCACCACGACTTTCATCCTCGCTCGGTAACTCACTCAAAAAGTACTTTTATATGTCTACATAGAAATCAGTTCATTCCGACTGGGTGGGGTATTGATAAACCCGGTCCAATCGGTGAGGTGTGGCAGACCAAGCACCAATCACTTTGTGGGGTTCCGTGAAATGCGATTAGTTGGATTCATTTTAAGTTGAGAAGATATACAGTGCGATTGCTCCATCGTTTTCGATCGTCTCGTCCCTCTCACCCGTGACCTTAA